TTGTATTCCTATGTATAACATGCAGAACAATGTACCATCAGCTATAGAGGAATACAAATCCCAGCAATACATTATAGAGCACCATGTGGGGGAAAGTGCAGGCTTACCTGAGCAGTCTTCCAGCAACTTGCTTCTGAGATCGGACCTGTCTATCAGCGGCTGTCATCCCCCCCACACCTCCTCCTCCTTACTACATCTCCCCGCGTCCCTTGCCGATCGTGGATGTGGATGGGCAGGAAATGTGAGGCGGGGAGGAGGTGCGGTGTGTGGAGCGTGGATGCGAGCGGGTCTGGCAGCAGCAAGTGTGAGGTGGGGAGGAGGTGCTGCGCACACCGTGTGGAGCTGTGAACAGGGCCAACTGATTGTAAGCCGATTAATCGATTATTGAAAAAGTTAACAACTTTTTTCAATAATCGATTATGTCGATTAGTTGTTGCAGCCCTAGTCAGCTTGCAAGAGCTCGCATAACTGAGCGCGCCGAGATAAAACATTTCATCTTCAGCCAATCACGCGCATCAGGATGCGAAGTCCATTGAGTTGTTACGCGCAAGACGGTTGGCTGAAGATGCAGTCTTTCATCTGGCTGCACTGCTCTCACACACTGCATGTGAACGTTTGCTTTGTTTTGCTCCACACTGTTTCACATGCAGTGTGTCACGGGCTGCAGCGCAGAGCAAAGGGCAGCGGCGGCGTGCAGACCTTTGCATACAGGTCTTGCAATTTTCTCTCTGGCGTGTTGACTTGCAAGAGCTCGCGTAGCTGAGCATGTCAAGATGAAAAATGTAAATTTCAGCCAATCGGCTTGAGCATATAAACCCACATGTCAGGACACAAATTCCATTGAGTTGATACACATGAGCAATATTGGCTGAAGATGAAAAATATTTCATCTCACTGCGCTCAGCTTCTCAAGCTGTAAATTAGGGCTGCAACAACTAATCGACATAATCGATTATAATCGACTATTGAAAAAGTTGTCAACTTTTTCAATCATCGATTAATCGGCTTCTGATTGGTTGGCCTTGTTCACAACTCCACACACACAAGTGCGCCACACTTCCTCCCCACCTCACGCTCGCGCTGCCAGGCCCGCCCACGTGCATTCACGCTCCACACGCCGCACCGCCTCACGCTCACCGCCCGCCCACATCCTCAATTGGCACAGGGACGCGGGGAGAAGAAGTAAGGATGAGTGAGTGTGGGGGGATGACAGCCGCCGATAGGCAGGCCCGATCTCAGAAACAAGTTGCTGGAAGACTGCTCAGGTAAGCCTGCACTTTCCCACACATGGTGCGCTATAATGTATTGCTGGGATTTGTATTCCTCTATAGCTGATGGTACATTGTGCTGTATATTATACATAGGAATACAAATCCCAGCAATAGATTATACAATGTATGTATAATCTATTGCTGGGGGTTTGTTGTATCCCTATATAGACCGGTGGTATTCTGCATTGCGCTGTATAGAGGACTACAAATTAAGGAATAATACATTATACGGCGCAATGCAGAATACCACCAGCTATGGAGGGGTACAACAAATCCCAGCAATAATACATTATACAGTGGTGCAATGCCGAATACCACTAGCTATAATGTACTATTGCTGGGTTTTGTAGTCCTCTATAGCTGGTGGTATTCTGCATTGTGTTGTATAGAGGACTACAAAACCCAGAAATAGTACATTATACAGCGCAATGCAGAATACCGCCAGCTATAGAGGACTACAAGTTGTATAGCCGGTGCCATTCTGCATTCATTGCTGTATAATTTTACACTTTCCATTTCACTATATGGCACACCACACTTTTTTTTCCCCACTTCCACCGCTCCAAGCTTGCTCCTGTGATGGACTACAATCTCAATACAAACTAGTAGTCCTAACACTGGAGCCATTTTTTAAAATGTATATGACTTTTTATCCGATTAACCGATCAATCGAACTTAATAATCGGCTAACTAATCGATTTTGAAAATAATCGTTAGCTGCAGCTCTACTGTAAATGCACAGGTATCACCAGCACACACATGGAAATTCAAATATCAATGATCCATGACATGGAAATAGGATCTTCATAAGGAGGTCAGCAATGGCTAAACAGCAATGGCACCCCTCCATGTTTCTTTGCACAATATGTGTAACTCACACTGCGTCATTAAGGCTCCTCTGTGTAGACTGGTCCTAACTCTAATCTATGAAAGCCTCCATATTTTGCAAAACTTGTGCAACTAAAACCTGTTTTTAATGCAAAGTGTAAAGCTGGCCATACACCTATACATTATCTGCAGATTTTCTGTGGTCAGATGGAAAAAGTGCAACAGATTCCTCCATCTATACTAAACTGTGTGGATGGAGGAATCTCCCACTGGGCCAAGCTTCAGTATCTTGCTAGTCGGCCCTGCTGGCTCTCAAAATACCTGAACAATCTGTTTGGATGCAGGCATTGTTCATTGTTCAGTGATCACAGAGCAGATCAGTGAACAGAAGTTCCTGTGTCTGCACCTGCACTCTATCCTAACATGCCATGGTCCCCAGAGAAGTGGGCAACCCGAAAACCACGGATGGGGTGCGGGGTGGCACAATAGCAGCCCAGTACAAGTGATCTGGGTGGCTGTGCAGCCGCTCAAATCATTGTAGTTGAGTAGCTGGCCCTCCTGCCTGATGTCATTGGTTGCTAGGAAGCCAGCAGTCCTAGCAACCAATTCCTAAATTGCAGGGAGGGCCAGAGCTGGGTTATGGCTGGCAGTGGATGCACCGGCCGTGGAGGTTATGTCTGGCTGACCGAGGTCAGTCACCCAAAACCCAGTGCAGGTTGGCAACCACGGTCTGGACAGAAGCGCCACTCGGTCTGTGTCCAGACCGCAGTCCGCCATTTAGTAACCACTGGTCTAGCCTATTACTAAAATAACTAATAATTTTCTGGAGTTGGAGTTGGGCTTTAGGGCTCGTTCACGCCAGCAACATTGTTCTGAGATGCTCAATGCAGTCCCTATGCAAGAACAAGACCTTATGCCCTAGAACAGGGGTCGGCAAACCCGGCCCTCTAGCTGTGGTGAAATCCCATGAGGCATTGTAAGTCCCTGACAGCTACGGGCATGACTTCTAGGGGCAGATGAATGATGGGATTTGTAGTTTCACCACAGCTGGAGGGCCAGAGTTTGTCTACCCCTGTCCTAAGTAGGGATGCACCAAAAGGACATTTTTAGACCAAGACTAAAAAAAACTGTCAGGGCGAAGCCAAAAATTACTTTTTTTTCCCCCTCACTTTTTGGAAAATGTTAATTATTTTTAAATTATTTTATTTGTATTATTATTATTATTTTTTACTTTACTGTTGGGGGCTCTGTTTAGACCTCTGATATTTCCCTTTTGAAATAGAAAAAGAATTGGAGGACACAGAGCCCTCAATCTCTTTTTCTGCAGCCCCTGTTATGAATGAACAGGAAGCCTCTATACTGAGTGCTCTTGTCCATTCATAAATTGGAGGAGATAGTATCAGTTACTATGTCCACAATCATAAATGAACAGGAGAGTGACGTATAGCACTTCCTGTTCATTCATAACTGGAGACACAGTAAGCTTACTATGTCCTCAGTTATTTGCAAACACTCAGCGATCAGCTCTCCATCCTTACTCCTCCACCTGTCACAGGAAGCTGAGCTCTTTTGCGGTACTGCCCCGCTCGGCCTCCTGACTGCTTCTCCCTGCTGGCCGCGGGTCTGTGTCCCCTCTGACTCTGCCAACAAAGATGGGGGAAACAAGGATCCCAGAGGACACAGACCGGAGCCCAGTGGGAAGGAGAGAAGCTAGAAAAGCACTGGATTTCTAGCTGTTTTGGTAGTATCAGCATTTTGCCCATTGTATCATTTTTGGCCTGAAATTTCAGTGCATCCCTAGTCCCAAGAGTTCAGTTCACACCTGTTTGCCGAAATTCGGAAAGTAGCTGGCCCCGTCGGCAGTCTTCAATCAGAATATCGAAGGAGTCAATCGGGTGAACAGTGACGGCAGCCAGTCAGCTGCTGCTGTCAGAATACTCTGGGGGGAATTTATCAAAACTGGAGTTTTCCATGGCAACCAATCAGCTTCTTTCTTCAGTTATGAGATAGAAGCTGATTGGTTGCCATGCAAGTCTGCTCAAGGTTTTGATAAATGTACAGCGGGGGATTATTCCGTCCACTCTGTTTAGTGTGGATGGAGAAATGTTATGGTGTTTTTTTTTTTCGTTCAGCACGCAGGGTATGGCCCTTATATTACATGGTTCTGGTAAATCTTAAATTGATTATACAGAGATTGTAATGTTTATGGTGACCCTTAGGGCTTACCATACACATTACAATCTGACCAGTCAACCACTGTAAAATCAACTTTAGATCTACCAAAACCATGTAATAAATTGTACCCAGACAGGCTCGTGCATTATATGGTTGTCGGTAGATCTAAGGGAGATTGTACAATCAGATTATAACATGTATGGTCATCTTAGATCCAATCTTGAGTGCCAGTGGTGTTTTTCACCTCAGATGTTCAGAAGCATTACTTCCAGTTTAAAAAAGGTGATGAAGGGATGCGAGTTGTACTTTACTAATCACTGGTCCGTTTCAGAACGCATTCATAGATATCTATGGGGTAGGGTGTGATATCGTATGGGGAGATACTTATATGAACTAGATCATGAAGACAAGCCCAGTGTTTAGGCAGCCTCGGGTCTCTCCTTAGCCACCAACCACAGCATATGGTGGGCTCACAGCCGCCGATCAGTGACAAAGCTCCAGGCCTATATACGTCGGCTACACACACAGTGGCAGGGATGCAGTACTCCGTCCATACCGCTCGGTAACAGCACACCATTCACTGAAGTGTTCCGATCTCTCCCGGACCACTCGGTGTACTACGCCACCACACACCGCTCCTGCTTACACACGCACACTGCAGATTTCTCCTCACTCGTGTCTCTGCCTTTAGCCGGAGCTCCGTTCATATCATATCTCACATCCTACCTTCTTAGGCTCAGCACTAGCCGCGAGTCTGGACTGCAGCTTCTCCACAACTTCCACCACGGATTCCGCCATCTTTAGTACTGGCAGGCGAGCAGACCGGAAGTTTCCTTTAATCCACATTCCCTAGCAGCGCAGACCATCTTAGTTAATGGAACCGGAAATAGCAACGTGACGTGTCTGATCCTAGAAGTGCTGGTAAGGTGTTCAGGCGGCCATAATTGCTACTGGAAAAACGCCCCCTAGCCAATTCATTGATAGAATGTTAACCACTTGAAACCGCTTTACGACGGAAACGCGTTTTGTTACTAGATAGCAAACTGCCATTAAGGTACTAGCTTCAAATGAATGCCAGGGTACAGAGGGCGTATTCTTACCCTAACATTTGTTGAAGCACACAATGCATTTTATGCTAGCCAGCAAAATTAGATCTCTTGTGCTAGCTGCTCTAGATCAAACTGATAACTAAATTCTGTGGATGGAGCACTCCATTACTAATTTTTACCAGCTAGTCATTCTGATCCAATGCCTTCAGTATTTTCTAAGGCACTGAAACCGTAAAGTACATAGGGTTTTATAACCACTTTAACACTCAATGTGAACAATTCCATTATTTCAATGGTTCCAGTTTTCACCTGAGTGAGAAATCACTTGACACAGTAAGAAGTTCATTTTCTTTTTAGGAGGGCAGAATCAGGCATTTTTGGTCCCACTCCAACACTTGTGTTCATGCACCCTTTTAAAGCAATCCAATTTTTAAGTCTATGGGGACAGAAAACTAAAATTCTGCTCCTGTACTACATAGCATGGGGTTTGCATGTGCAAACCCCCCCCCGCTACACTGAGGTATGAATAGGGCTCCACTTTACATACCTGCCCGTGACACAGATTTGTTTTATATATATGTGTGTGTATTGCCAGCCACACCACCAATCTCTGCTCTTGTGAAAAGCAAAGCATTGCTTAAGAAGCCTCAGCAAGTGGTACTGACAGGAGTGTCAAATCCCATATCCCCTGAGGTCATGGCAGGTCACTACAATAGTCCCTAGTGACATAAGGACAAGCAGACAAGACCAGGCATCCAGGATTCTTCAGCAAGTTGTGCACTTACAGATTAGAATATCAGCAGGACATGTAAATATTAAACCTTTGCTTTACAGAGTTCATGGAAGAGTTTAACTTCAGTAAAAAAAAAAGCCAAGATATATTTAGCAGAAGAGACTGCACATTTTACTAAAAACCCTTACCCATGCCTCCTAGCAAATTTAAACATTGTTTTAAACAGTATACATTGCTTGCGGCACACATTCAGGGCAGCATATGCTCCCAAACCCTCCCTAGCATGCTCAAATGCTGGGACATTGCAACCCAGCATGTGCATCACTTACACCATAAGTGGCCACCCAATGGGCAAAAGAGTAACAGGAATCTAGAAGACAGCAATGGACACTTGTCTTGTCAGTTTTGGAGGAGGGTAAACAGCAACACAAGTTTGCCATATTATGCAAGTATGATGTGCACACTTCCACATTATGGCAAGACTACATTTTGTAAGTATGCAGAATAGGACTTTGCTTCACTTGTTAGTCTTGTTTCCAAGTGCTGAGCCAGGCCAACATTTATAGGAGATCAGTGAACAGCCTCTGCTTGAACTCTGTATAGGTTACTTTAGGGAGCCACTTCCACTGTTGGGTGTTTTATAAAATAAAAAACAATGGTACAGAAATTCTTGAATTTTCTATCCAAGTTTAGGTTTTCAAAAAGACCCAAATGTAGAAATTGGCCCAAAATCTTCAGCTGGACAGAAGAGCATGAGTAGCTGAAGTTGAGTTATTGGTGGGTATTGACAGCAGGAAAGCTGAAGCCATAGCAACAAGAGGCAGCCCTCTTGACAGATCCAAAGAGCGTGCACTGTTCCAAGACCCACAATTATTTATTTTACTCTCATCCCTGGTGGGAGATTGGTTACTATAACAAGCGCAGCTCATAATTATGTTGCAATCCCCAGACAGCTCACAACTGGCAGGTATACAAGAGCGACCTTGTTAAATGTTCCAATTCATATACATTTTTACAAAAACTTTAACCATTCATGAGCCAGTGATTGAACCATTTATAAACAGCAATTTAGGACTCTCTATACATCCTTTGAGAGCACAAGCCACATGTGGTCAAAATGTCTAGAAGTTTTAGACGTGTTCAAGAATCCTAGATTAACTTTCACATTTAATACACCAACAGATACAGGTATAAATAACGACAACAGTAAGTTTTGTCAGAAATTTTATTGATTTTTTAGAAACTGAAGCAGCTCACTTTCCAGGGAGAATGATTCCATCATACTAGGAGAAAAAAAAAAAAAAAGTTAGAATTGAGAAACAGTTAATACAATTGCAATGATTTAAATTGTGACTACTTCAGAGGTTTTCATAACTCTTACCCATTAGACATTGAAAAGAAAACCAGATATGAAAAAACTAGGGCTTCCATTGCTCACCAACCTATGCTAATCACTTGGCTATAAGATTGATCAAGCTATTTGATGAGTTTCTGTGTTCAGCAGGAATTAAAGTCAGTAGCCCTTCTCTAAATTGCTCCAAGCAGACAGATGACTATACTGGAGCAAGGCAAGCATGACAGCCAGGCATATGGCATTTTGGTATTGATATTGCAATAGGCTCATGTCAAGTTGGTTTTAGGAGCCTAATCTGAAGCAGTGCTAAAGTTTTCTGAAAGCATGCCATCAGCTTGTTTAAAACGACAGCCAGTAGTACGTCCACCAAGCTGGAGCTAAAGGTTACTTTAAAAAGGTTTGAATAGAGAACCTCAAGGCCTTGCAAATGTTTAGAAAAGGTTTTGCAAAAGTGTGCAGTATACAGTGCTAAAATATAAAAGCTGTATGTGCAAGGCCCAGCATGTTAAGAGCAGTATGTTCACAGTAGTCGGTCTATTGGTGTTGCCCACCAACAAGTTTTGGGAGAGTAAAATTTACTCTTCCGAATAGTCTGAGCTGCCGTGTGCAGTTGTCACAAATGCTGGCTCTATACTTGAGAACCGAGCGTTTACAAAACGCTGATCACTCACTGGTCTTCTCCCTACAGAGAGCAGCAACTTTCATTCAGGATGCCCCAGATTTTTCTCCTGTGCTCACTGGAGGGATGGGGAGGGGGCAGGCACATCTGGCTCTGGCTCCAGAGAGGCAGAGTAAGCTGTCAATCAGGCAGCAGGGTGGAACTTGACAATATAGTCAGGATCTTTCCCGGCTGCAGCATGGCTGTGCACTGTCAGCATATAGCAGGCAATAATCCACTATATGCAGAGTTTGGGTCACAGGAGTACCCAAGTAGGCTCCTCTGACAAGTCAGAAAAGAAAAAACCTTTTGGTAGAGGACTGCTGACCCACAGCGTGAATTTCAGCCAGTTCCCAATTCACTTTATGTATGGATAGCATAAAAAAAAAAATTAACACCACACATAGAAGTGGTCAGATTACTGTAGTGATTAAAAGCTACAGGGGGATCCGCCTAAGGGTGAAAACCTATCCAGGACCACCATCTATGGACATTCTATGGCAATTACGGATAGACCGTACACAACATATGAATGAGGCAATATAAAACCAATGTGGTTAACAAAAGCAACACTAAACTGGTGGACAGTCAACAACCTTGGCTCCAATATCCAAATTGAAAAGAGACTTTGAAGAAACCAAAGCTTAGCCAGTTTGCTTTGACAATCACTCCCAACTTGGCATACTAGTACCTGGGCAGTGATTTAGAGTGTACATTTAGGTTCACTGCTCCGAATTAAAAGAGCAGTGTCAAGAAATGGCCGATTACTCCAGATCCTGATCTCACACACGTGTTTGCATCATATATTCCTTCTAAAGCCTCTGACCAATGACATCACAAGATCCTTACTAGCCAAGCTGGATGACTTTTTGCAACCATTTCCAGATCCTGACAATGTTAATGTTTTGCCCAACAAGTAGCACTGCCAGCCTCTATGATCACCCTCAAACATATACTAGATAGCCACAACACTGTATGAAGCAAGAAATCTGAACTCTGCCACAGCTAAAGCAAAACCAGCCATGATGTCCATGACACCAATGTCAGCCACAAGAGTTCTAAAAAGGCAGCAAAATATGACCTTTGAGTGCTATGAGAATCATGCCAAGCTTTTTAGCACCATGCAGAAAAGTGTTTGGCAAAGTTGTAAATGCACATATCGCTAACATTTTCATGTGTGCAAAGTGTACTGCCATTAATGCAGTATTTCGATTGTGAGAAGCTTTCAGAATATCCACCTTAGGAACCACCTCTTGAAATCCACAAAAGCAGTTCCATCAATGCCTGTAGATTTCAGGGTTCATTCACACTTTAGTGAACCGTTATGATGGATTGATACACCCCATTCATTATGCCTGGGCTGCCAATACCACAGGCCCAAAAACAGGACCACTTCAGCAATGCTGCCATGCATTGTCATGGCTACTGTATAGTGCATGGGGGTGCCTTTCACAATAAATGGCCCTCAGAATTGTGAATGTCTAGCCTCCAAGAAAAGGCAAAGTTGAGATAACTAGTCCATGAGACCCTCTGACCATTATAATTGCCCTAAATCACACTTTTACATTACATAGATTTACACAAAATGTTCTTAAGAAAAAGGGGCAACACCCTTCATTGCACAAGACCTTCATACCAGAAGGGAGCTCCCCAACTCTAGTGCATGCATTGTTCTGGAAAAAGTCTCAATCAGCCCAGAGTTTGACAATTTTCTTTAGATAAAAGTAGGGCTGCAACAACTAATCGACATAATCGATTATTGAAAAAGTTGTCAACTTTTTCAATAATCGATTAATCGAACTTAATAATCGGCTAACTAATCGATTTTGAAAATAATAGTTAGCTGCAGCTCTAGATAAAAGCTGCAAACATTAGAATTGCATTTACATTGGGGAACATGCATGTGCTTTTAAAACTGAATACATGGTTTATCCATTTTAAGGCATAAATCAACACCAAATGACAATGTTCTCAGTGACTCATTTAAACTGACAGGTAAAATAAGCCCGTCTTGGCACAAGCTAGAATAACTTTCCTTTCATGGACACCAATTAGTCATATCTGACCAATTACTCTAGAAGGGGTACAAATTTGAGCTTTGTGCCGTGACCAGAGAGGCTATTGTATTGTAAATGAAATTTACAATTGGAAGAAAAACCAGATACATTTGCATATCATGAGTCAGACGTGAATCCATTTAAATCCAGAGTCAATGTATGTATTTACATTGTACAACTGAATTATATCTAAACGAGTGACAGCTACCAGTGTCAGGAATTTGGTGTGATCTTATGCGAATACACTCAGATTGTACATGTACAGCCTTGTGTACATCTTGCCCATTTAAAATCCATTTTCTCATTCATTCTTCAAGGCACAGCCACACATTGCTAGATCAAATTATACTAAATCAAGTAGAGACTATACAGTATAGTCTTGATCTACAAGATGGGTGGTCAGCTGCTACATCAGTCTAGCCTCAAATGGTGAATAACTCTGGCACCATGCACAATATGAAGCCCAATTATATCCCTTCTGTTTGCTAGGACAAGGAGACCACAGGGTGGACTCCAGCTCTTATATTGCTCTGCTCAAGGCAGCCGTGAGAGAAACAGGCAAGACAGTTCAAACCACCTGCAACGGCGCAAGGTTTCCCTGCCGCCGCCACCACACAACAGTGAGTAACGAACGGCAAGGTGGGAAAAAACCCCAACAGCCCGGTGGCTCCCGCGGGTACACACCTCAGACCGCCAGAGTCCCCCAGGAAGGCAGCTATAACCCCTGCTAGCTGGGAAAAACTCCACTGGAGTCACAAAAGGAGGATGGTTGCCCTCTTGAGAGAAACCTCAGGGCCAATTCACTCCTAAGGGTAGGACAGGATGGGGACTGCCCTAGGGATCTTACCCCGGTATCTCCAAGACCACTGGCCGCAAAGGGAGGAGATACCAGAGCAGCAGGCCCCTGCCACGTGCACACAGGCCTCAGAAACAAACAAAAAAACATAAATTTCTGCAGTGCTCCCATGCTCCTGTTAGGCCAAGGAAAAACAAAAATTGAGGTATGCTGGGGCAAGTGCCCTTTTATTTGGTGTATGTGATGTGTTTCCTGTTTCAGGTGGGAGGAGACCTCTCAGATGCTGTCCTGGAAGATTACTTGGGAAAATATGAGTGCCCAAGCAGTACCCTGGAAAAATCTACGCCGTCTCGAATGACTCTTGTGCCTACAGGCTCATATCTGTATCTCTACAGTGTGAGATACAAGGCACTGCTGCCTCTTAGTCTCACTAGATTTGAAATGAGATTTGTTGATGTCACTACTGTGCAGTTCCTTGTTCTCCTTGAAAGCAAAACCCTGCCTCTACAAAGATGGCTACTTTAACAGTGTGGAACAAGACATGCCAAGTCAATAACGAGGTAAAGATCTGCAGGGAGACCACAGGCAATACAGACAACTAGTTGGTCCCTCTACATGTTATTTTGGGCGCAGAGTTTTCACTTTCAAGTTATCACTTGAAATATCCCATACATCAGTTTGATACAAGCTTTTTCCTACTACACACCATTAAAGAAAAAAACAAAACAAACCTGTTTCCAGTGTTGCTGCAGATATTGCCAAGTGAGGTATACAATGTGCACAATACGACTACCCTTTATACAGTGCCCCATGGAAAGTGTTGACTTTTTCAACATATTTGAGCAAACATTAGCTCTCGATTCAAAGTGCATACAGATAAATCAGATACTTGAAGTGACAATATGTTCAGAGGCAAATTTTAATCTTGCCCTGTTGTGAGCAAGACTAGGCCTTACGGAACAATGTAAATCCTTAAAATCAAATGCAGGGTTGTTTGGACACATTAGACCCCTTGCTGGGCCAAAGACAGTATTGCAGAAGAACATCTTAACTGAAGCTTGATGGTGGAAACATTATGGGTTGAGATGACGGCTTGCTGGGCCCTGAAGCTGCAAAACCAAGTCAACTATGAATTCTAAATAGGGATGTCCCGATACGAATACTAGTATTTGTCCTGAAAATGCCCCCATAAAGGCTGATACTGGCCCTATACATTTTTCAGGAAGCTTGGCTGCCTGGGGTCCCGTGTGCTGGGGTCCTCAGGCAGCTCTTTTTTAGTGCCCGTCTTGCTGCCCCACACACCGGCATAGCCCTGGAGACCTGCACAAGCCCAGATCCCACCCATTCAGCCCTGGAAAGCCTGGCACCTGCCCACAGAGCCCTTGTGAGACCCGCACGCAGCCATGTATTTTTAGTCCTCAATAGCCAGTTGCCATTCTCTATTGCTGCATAGTTATGCAAAGAGTTACAGTTCATAATTAAAGAAACTGCCCTAAAATCATTAGTCTGTTTAAGACAAAAAAAGGTCACATGTCCCTTTAAGAAAAAAAGTATTGTTAATTTATATCTGTAAGTACTTGTAGGTATTGGGGACATCCCCAATTCTGAATCATAAAAGTATGCTTACCAACCAAGAATGAGAGGCCATCTGTCCAAATCTCAAAACAAAAATTGGTCTTTCAAACACGACAATGATTACACACTAGCAAATCCAAGGACTGGCTCAAAAAGAATTGAGGTTATGGACTGCCCTAGTCAAGCCCCGACTCAATTCCCATTAAAATGGACATATACAAAAGGAAACCTTAAACATCTTGAATGGATTTTTCATGAAGTGGTCAAAAATGCTACTTCGTTGACGCAAGTCTTGTGAAGGGAGCATGGAGTTCAACAAAATGCCGACTAGTAATTTCTGCTACAATGAGCAATACCAAATGTTGATGCCAAAGGGGTGCTTACAGTTTCCACAGTACACCATTACACCTAATATTTTAGTTGAATTATGATTTAAAAGGCAGTCATAGTCAAGTAGATTACATCTGTAGGCACTCTGAAGATTTACCGTTTGCTGCTTAAATATTTTTAAAGTCAACAATTTCCATGGAATGTACATTATAGCAAAGTTCCTTCTAGCATCCGTCATTCCTCCTCAAAGCCTGGTATCGGCATTATGGGTTTTCTAAAGTGAGCATAGCAGGAGACTAAGATTTGTACCAAAAATATATACAGGGCAGTTTAACATGCATTTAGGAAGAAGTCTACTATATGCTAATGTAACCTGTAACCTAAGTTCTGTAAACAGTTTTTCAGCAGAGAAGTGGTGTGAAGGAGCCTAGCACTCCATCTATTGGATAAAATCATATGTTCCATATAAACAGGCTTTTTTTTTTTTAAACCTCTAGTTTAGAACATTTGAGAACCTATAAAATATACCGACTATCACTTAAAACACACATATACATATATATAACTCCAAGATGATAATCCATTTACCTTCTGCTGGAACCAACGCATGGCCTCCTCTTTTCCAATCCGATGCTTTGCACCAATGACGCCAGTCTTGCGCTTTTTGTCAGCAATGCTAAAGCCTGGACGGCCAAGGACCTATAAGGTAGATTAAAATTGCTCAGAACTTTAGGGCTACAAAAATGAAGTACACAAACAAGCATATTGTATAAAAAGGGCAAGGACTAAAAAAGGACAAAGGGTGTATATTTCACAAACCTTAGGCAGCAAAATTCAACAAGTTTTAATGCAAAATACAATGACACCAACTACTAAATCAACCGACAGTTTGACAAAAAAAAAAAAGTATCCTGAAACAAAAGTCAAATGTACTTTTTCGGAGCATTGAAAAACAGTACATTGTGAAAGCTATACCAACATGGAAATGGAGCTTTTAAGCACATCAGATCATTCAGGTGTGAATGGGACAGTTATTGGGAAATTTGTCATGACCAAGTAAACTGGCTAGTGACCATTTTTGCTAGTCACTACCCATGCTAGGCCAACTTTACCAAAACCATGCTCTGGAAACTGGCCCAAAGAACATATACCAAACTGACATCTTAGAAATCACTCCCAAGTCAGATTACCTCATCTTCACAGACACAGCTCACAAGACCAGCCATTTCCTATGTTTCTCACATTGCATACGTCACCAAGATGGTCAGTTTTGTTTTTTCAACTTTAACCAGTTTAATTTTTCATACGCTCATAATCTGCATTTTTGCCTAATAAAATGAAACACCTGAAGCCTGTTAAAAGCGGTGCTGAAAACACAGCCGTTGGCCAACAGGTACAGTGCCGACACACCAATTCTGCTACATAGCATGGCTTCTTTTTGGTTGGGGAGAGCTTTATTGAAACGTCACAACTTTATTGAAATTACATTTCATTAGGTTGTATCTTCACAGGTGGTGTGCTGTAGTTGCACTGCATTGCACCACTTAGAAAAAAACTGCATGCCACACTTTTCAGGGCACACCAATGCAAAACAGTGTGAACTGAACTGATTGAAAACAAGGTAACTTGCCTTTGCTGTGCATTGTGGCTGCCCTGTAAACCTGCCAGTGCAGCCAAAACACTGGTTTGAAGGGGCCCTGGACAAATTGGACATGCCCAGAGTCCTTAACTGGTTAAGTATGTGAAGGTTCTCATTCCTCCAGGTCATGGTATATCTCTAAAAAATAAGTCAAGGCAACTGGACTTGCTGTATTTTTCTTGAAGTCGTTTCACTGGTTATCCAACCAGCTTTCTCAATTCAGAAAGCTGAATATTTAAAAAGCTGAATTCTGAATTGAGAAAGCTGGTTGGATGACCAGTGAAACAGTCAAGAAAAATACAGCAAGTCCAGTTGCCTTGACTTATTTTTTTACAGTTAACTGGTTAAGGCTTCACAAGTTAGACGTGCGTGTGTGCGTGTCTCTCCTAACAAGCTAGCTGCCAATATACTAATCAAAAGGGCCTCAAGGTTTTAGGTATAAAAACAAAACCCCAGAAATCAGAAATTCTAACTTCTGACCACTAGGCTTTGTTGGTTCCAGGTCAGTTATTTGATGCATTGAGGTTAGGGAAAGCCAGGCAACTACCATTTAAAGGTCAGCAATGGCAGCTTTGCCATTTTCCAAGTACAGGCTTACATTACTGATACAAAAATGCCTGCCAGCAAATATTCCAGAAACAAGTACTTTACCAGCGTCAGCAACTGGGAAATGTCTACTTTATTATATATGTAGCTCTATGCAACCCAACAGTACTGAAAACAGCATTTGACTTCAAAGGCCTTTGGTAAAGCCAACACATGTTCATATTTTGTTCACCCCTACTAGCAAACAATTTGTTGTTGAAGACCATAGTCCCCCTTGTATGGTGTTATACATACCACGTAGAAATCCAGCCCGTAGATTCCAATGCTTGGGTCATATTTAATCCCCAGATCAATGTGCTCCTGGATACCAAACCCAAAGTTTCCGGTTTCAGAGAAGTTATTCTTCCTCAGCTCATATTCTCTGACCTTTATACAAAAAGAAAGCCATCATTACAATTGTGTATTGGAAGAAAGACCATTTAAATGCCACACATTTTCCACCCGTGAATACCAATGCAAGCATGACCAATGATTAACAAAATGTCTTTACTCCTTAGTGACCAGTCAAGTTTGAAGAAAGTGAACACCTATCCGAATTGGTCATAGCAGCCTTGAAAGAATCTGTTCAGCATCACTAAGGAAGCCAACAGTCTTAGAACCAGTAATGTAACATGCAAGTCCAGACAATGGCCACTCCCAGCAACGAAGAAACATGCTGCTAGCAAGTATGATGTGCAGGGAACCAGATGTACCTACTCATACCTGTAACAGTTTAATTTTTACTTCTTTTTATTGTAATACCCAAATACTAAAAATAAAGAGGGACCAGAACCCCAAAGGGGAATAGATATCAGAGTTTATGAGAAACCACTGGCGATATAGGAGGTCTTTGGCATGACATACCAGTAACAGGGTAAGTAAATTAGGAGCATATCCACATACATTACACTATGACAATGATCCAAGGCTTGGTAAAGATGTAACATCAAGACTTAAGTGCTAGAATCTAGCAGGTCCAACCTAAACATAGGCAGCTGCACGAGTGTTAACAATGGAGCCCAGGCCTGTCAGATACTCAGGAAAGGTTGATTACCTAAAACCACTTTTATTGTGCTCAACATTTAATGCCAGACCATTCTGATCAGGCAAAGGTTTGGCACTTCCTGGTAAATTCCTTTGAATTCTTATGGGCCTGTGAGTAAGGCCACTGGCAATGAGCCAATAGGAATGCGTGTGTGATGCTCTAGCACTTAAAGACTAACTTTTGCTGCTTAGGTCCTCATCCACTCACCATGTCTGACTGTCACAGATCCTCCACCTCACCAGCAGTGGGTTATTTCTAAAAGCTGCAGCATTTACTCCTGTGAGTCCAGGACAGGGGACGAAGCCTTGATGGCCCAGGCTCACAGGAAGTTGGAGTCATTCAATCCAGAACAAGAGTTGCTCAGGATTGCCAACCATAGGAGAGTATGCATGGAGGAGCTACTTCGTTTTAGACTGTGGATACTTTAACTGCCCAAAATGGAACCCGACTGGAATACAGTTTTGACAGTTTTTTGGCATTCCAGTAGATCTAGAAAAACTAACAGCACTAAACCAACGATCTTGGTACCCCCTGAGAGCAAAGTCAGGCACCATACCTTCTACTGTTGCAGCTCTGACAGGCAAAGGCATCTGAACAAATTTAAAAAAAGCTGCACTAAAAGCAAAATATGCATTTTTCAAATGTTGAGCTATTACTCCGGTTTACCTTAAGTCCTTTCTCTAGAATTTCTTCTGCTTTGGCTCCTCGGACAGTACAGTGGACTGCAATTTTTTCATTTCTCCTGATTCCAAAAGATCTCACGGTGTAACGAGCTGCAGAACAAAAGGAAGGTCACACTGACACGCAAGTCAACGTAATTTCTTCGGCAAAAATCGAGCAAATAGAAAGTAGGTAGGTTAGGCCACCGCAACTACAAAATCAGTTGAACTAAGCCCTCTATTTGCGTTTGATAGATAGGCAGTGTCTTTTCCACACTTAACTGGAAAAAACCCCACACGTTAATTCTGGCCATACACCAAGTTCTCTTTAATTCAACCTACAGAACAAACAAAAAAACAGGATTCCTCCATCCACACTTGCACCCATTCATCAACAAATCTCACTGCAGCCATCATATTCTGACAACCGTATTCTGACACCGGCACCCCCGCAGTCAGAATACATGATTAGTGACTGCAGCAAACTGCCTAAAGCCAATATGTGGCTGAAAATTCACCTCAGCAGGGCCACCCACTGTAAATCAGTGATCAGCTAACAGTCTAAGTACAGCGAGCCTAAGTATCAGAACATTACAACGTAAAGATTAGCCTGAGTGAAACCTATTGTATATTCCCTGATCTCTAAATGATTGCAATATTATATTAGAGTTAAAGTGATGCAACTGATTTTGAATACTTTTGCACCATACAGATTTGTAGAGCATGCGCTCTCTCCAGGGGCTGTAGATTCTCTAGCTTTTACTCCAAGTACTGGACACCCCCTGCTTAATTGCAGAGAAAAAAAAAAAGTCTCATCTCAGGCAAGACCAATACCAGTGCACACTTACTGTGCAACACTGCTGAGGAAGCAGAGCTTTCTTATGTAATTCACAAGACTGAGTGCAGGACAAATGCCTTACCTTTGGAGAACACAGGTGTCTGCCCGGTGAGCTGCTCCAGCACTTTGGCCGCCCGGGTCAGTCTGTCACCACTCTCGCCAACACAGATATTGAGGCAGAGCTTGCGGATTCTCAGCTCGCGCATAGGGTTTTCTTTTTCTGATTTTTCCTAGAGAAGAGCAAATAAATCTCATAAAACCTTATAACTATGCTGCAGTGCCGTCCGTCCGTTTTTTTACTACGGGCGGACGGCAAGAGGTTAAAGATGGACGCATTTCTTCACCACACGAACGTCTATATGCACACTAGTGTGGCACAATTTGTCGCGCTGTCCATCCATACACCAGTGCTGTCGCCCACTCCACACTATAGTATTTATACCACCATGTTAATAGCATGCATTTTAGAACAATTTTTAACTCTGAACATTGGTGCAAGTGCTTTAGTTCACCATACGCAACCGGAAACTGTTGCACAGCACTTTAAAGTGACTTGGAGTGGCTGGTGCAACACATAGTACTTGTGTCCTGGAACTGTTGATTTGGGTATGCATATACACAATATATACACTACATAAAGGAGATGCTTCTTCCTCTGCAACTCTACCCTATATAGAAGAACGCCAGGAAATTGCATGAACCCTTGCAGTGCAGGGGCAGTGCTAGTTTGTATTAGTGCTAATAATAAATAATAATGTTATACTCCCCCCAAGCTGGCCAGGCTGCTCCCTCCAGCATTGGAATGTTTCTCAGTACAGATGTGGTGACTTAAAGGATCTTAGATCACTGCAGAGGGGGAGAGACATGGGAGGGACCGCTCTAAGAAGCCAGCTCAAGAGCTTCAGGTGAGTAACTTTTTTTTAACCTAGACACAAACTAGCACTTAACTCTTGCTGTAGGGGTAGCCCCACTGCAAGGGTTGATAAAAACAATTCCTAGAGTTCAAGTTACTGGGCACCTCAACAGGCTGCTCTATGCAAACAAGAAAGAAAAATCTAGAATCCAAACACCAAGCTCAAATTCAACACATTAAAACAGTTGTAAATAATAAAGCTGCAGTAACCCATACATACCAAAATAAAAACAAAGACAGGTAACCCTAGAGAGGAATCTACTGTATCCAGAACCACCAAATGACCTGAACAACATGCAGACATGTCTGGTCTAGTTCCAGTCACACATCTCATCTGTAGAGGGTACCAGTAGGGGCACAATACAGCACTCCATGACATCTGAAGCGTGTCCCCTGCAAACATGCACAGATTTTTTGCTATGACGGGCCTTTAAAATATCACTCGCATAACATACTCCTCAGTCTTGACTAAAAATACAATGTCCACAATACTCATCTTATCTATAAAGAACCTAGCCACATAAAGACCATACAAAGTTAACATATGTACGAAGTAAAAATAAAGAAGAAGAGCTAATGCACATAAGGCACACCTTTACTTTATTCCGAAATGCTACCCAATAAGGACAAACTATAGGCAGCTGAAGAGCAGAGCAGACGAATAGCGAACGGTACGATCTACAGTGTCATGTGTAGGGATGAGCTGTGAAATGTAGACATACAGGGCGATAGACACACTAGGCCCAGTCATCACTCCAACAACTTTCCTCATTCCCATCCACACAATAATGGGGCGCCTGAAGCCGGCAGTAGGTTAAAGAACAGTAAGCCAAAGCCGACTCGAGCTCCTTGATCACAGCAAAAGGATGGCAGCGGATTAAACCGGCCGGTATTCTCTGTTACCGCATTCACTCACCGCCATGTTGGGAGATGGGAAGAGATCGCGAGATTTCAGATTCTGCCTTATATACCGGGCAGTGACGTCACGGCGCGAAGTCGCTCTTCCTTTTAGCTTTCTATACCACGTGATGTGCGGAAGTTCATTAGCGTTAACAGGAAGCTGTAGGGCTGATGGGAGGATGGCATTGGCAAATTTTGGCATGATAACTAGACAGGTTCTCACCTTTCCTTGCTCTGGTGCCCGTTTACATGACTGCAACATGGCGCAGTGTGATTTTTAGAAAAGGTGCTTCTTTTGGTGCTGCATGAGAAAAGCATGTACTATACTTGCAGAGACCTGCTCCAGGGAGTGTGCAGTCGCCTATACATCCCTATGGGAGGACGCAGCTACATCTAGACCTGCATATCCGTGCGCATGCCCTTGTGAATGAGCCCCTTTAGTGCAGTGCAAAGCGTTTGTTTATGGATCTGAATGCAGGCATATTGTTTTCGATTGAGCCATGCACACAATTGTGTAAAAAAAATTTGCGTTTAGATCCGTAACATGAAATCGAAAAATCTGCCTCTGAGAACATGTATTTTATGTGCGTAAACCGGTAGATGCACATTTATGCATATACTTTATGTACGGGTAAACAAAGACCAAATTGGAAGATTTCAATGAAATCAAAGCAGGAGGAATGGATGGAGAATTTTAAACCCTTGCATGTGTAAAAGCAAGCATTTTACTTTATCATCACCTAGCAAAAAAGAAAATGAATATATGATCAGTAAAATCCGTACAGCCTGTGCATGAAATATAGCCAAACCTTTTTTTGGCATTAGTCCGCTTTTGAGTCACGGGAGTACATTTACTGATGTACTCTCCCCCTCACCGCTGGCCATCCGATATGACACCGCTCCCTCGTCCGCCCCCCCACTTCAGGGGTGGGGCGTAGGAGGGAGCGCTGTCAGGATGGCGGAGCGGTGAGAGAGGCCGAGCGTTGTCCAAGTATAGTTAAACAGCTGCCTGAAAACCTTTTTTTTGCCAAATCTAGCATCAGAAGAGGTAGAAACATCAATTTTATAAAACTTTGCAAAAGTCTGAACAGAAGACCAAGTTGCACTCTCGCAATTTTGAGTAACAGAAGCTTGATTTTGAAATGCCCAAGAAGTACTAATTTCCCTAGTACAATGAGCAGAAACAGGAACATAGGATTTTTGACTTACCTGTAAAATTATTTTCTTGGAGTATAGTACAGGACACAGGGCCAATCAGGACAGATGGGCTTTGGTGGTACCATCAGGTGACTTGGACACTGGCCAGAGCAGGCCGGAGCCTATATAAACCCTCCCCCTACACCAGATGCTTAGTTATATGAAAGCAGTAAGGCTGGGTCACACAGCTGTTCCACACTGCACACCTGTTCCACCACAGCACCCCCACACACCTGCTCCACACTGCACCCCCATACACCTATTCCACCACTGCACCCCTATCCACCACTGCCTCTCCACACAGCTGTTCCACACTGCACACCTGTTCCACCACAGCACCCCCACACACTTGCACACACTTACACCCCACACTGCACTGACAAACGCGCGTTTCCAAGGGCTACCTGGCTGTATCCCAATGTATACGCGCGAAAAATACGCCCCAAAGAAGCTCCTGTACTTCTTTGGGCGTAGGGCGTTTCCAGGGTCACGCCCCCTTCATCAGATACGGGCCTCCTCCATCCCATATGCATTATATAGCAACTAGTGGCCAATGGACTGGTGCGCCGGGACCTCATCGGCTCAAGCTGCAACAGCTGAGCCGATGAGGTCCTGAAATAGTATGCACAGTGCAGTTGTGCTCAAAAGTTTGCATACCCTTGAAGAATTGGTAATATACTGTATGTAACAATTTTAAAGAAAACATGAGTGACCACGCAAAACACATTTCTTTTATTTCTTATGGGATTCATATTCAACTGTAGGTCATAACAGAAGAGCACAATCATAAACAAAACATGGCATCAAATCAAAAAATTAAATGACCCCTGTTCAAAAATCTGCATACCCTTAGGTATGTATTGCCCCAATTAGCATCAATGACAGAGTGCAGTCTTTTGTAATAGTTGTCTACGAGCCCCCAAATTCTTGCAGTTCATATAGCTGCCCATTCATCTTGGAAAAATGCCTCTATGTCATGCAAAGTCTTTGGTCATCTTGCATGAACGGCACGTTTTAAATCTCCCCAGAGTGGCTCAATGATATTAAGGTCAGGAGACAGTGATGGCCACTCCAGAACCTTCACCTTTTTCTGCTGTAACCACTGAAGGGTCAACTTGTGCTAGAGTCATTGTCGGGCTGGAAAGTCCAAGAGCGTCTATTTTACCAAAAATATGGGTGATAAATGGGTGTGGTTACTGGGGGTGTGGTCACTAAAGGGTGTGGCCACTGAGGGGCGCTGTAAAGCTTTCTCGCACAGGGCGCCTAAAGACCTAAGGCCGGCCCTGGTCCCATGCAAGGCATTCGCACAGAAGAATGCAAATTGTCTGCAAATATTTTTTTAATAACATGCTTGGTGACCCTCTCCAAACATAGCACATATGGTTGTGACCATAAAGCTCTATTTTGGTCTCGTCACTCCAAATTACAGTGTGTCAGAGGCTATGAATGTGTCAAGGTGTTGTCAGGCATGTTGTAATTGGGCTTTTTTGTGGCATTGGCACAGTAAAGGCTTCTTTCTGGCAACTCGACTGTGCAGCTCATTTTTGTTCAAGTATCGTCGTATTGTTCTCCTTGAAACAACCACGCCGTCTTTTTCCAGAGCAGCCTGTATTTCTCCGGAAGTTACCTGTGGGTTTTTCTTCTGGCAGTTGTGGCTACAATCTTTCTTAGTCTACCTGACCTTGGCTTGGTATCAAGAGATCCCCGAATTGTCCACTTCTTAAGTGATTGAACAATACTGACTGCCTTTTTTTAAGGCTTTGGATATCTTTTTTTTTTTTATCCCTTTCCAGCTTTATAAAGTTCCATTACCTTGTTACGCAGGTCTCTTGCCAGTTCTTTTCTGCTCTCCATTGGTTCAGCATCTAACCTGCTCCGTGCATCCACATGATCGCTAACAAACTTATTGACTATTTATACACATACGCTAATTGCAATATAAAAAGTCACAAATGTGGGAAATTCACATTTAATTGTCATTTTAATCTGTGTGTCTGTGACAAGGCCAAACATTCCAGGGTACGTAAACTTAGGAACAGGGCCATTTGGGAGATTTCTGTTATCATTATGATTTAAAAAGGAGCCAAACAACTATTTGATAATAAATGATTTCATATAATCACTATCCTTAACCACTTGAAGTCCACGGTGTTATACCCCCTTCCCATCCAGGCCATTTTTCAGTATTCAGTGCTGCGGTACTTTGACATTTATTCCGTCATGCAACGCTGTACTGAAACAAATTTTATACCCTTTTTTGGGGACAGATAGAGCTTTCTTTTGGTGGTATTTATTCTCTGGGTTTGTTATTTTTTACTATATTAAAAAGGAGAACTATGAGGTGAGTGCTTTCCACTCACCTCATAGTTCTCCTTTAAAGTGACATTAAAGGAGAACTATGAGGTGAGTGGAAAGCCCTCACCTCATAGTTCTCCTTTAAAGTGACATTAAAGGAGAACTATGAGGTGAGTGGAAAGCCCTCACCTCATAGTTCTCCTTTAAAGTGACATTAAAGGAGAACTATGAGGTGAGTGGAAAGCCCTCACCTCATAGTTCTCCTTTAAAGTGACATTAAAGGAGAACTATGAGGTGAGTGGAAAGCCCTCACCTCATAGTTCTCCTTTAAAGTGACATTAAAGGAGAACTATGAGGTGAGTGGAAAGCCCTCACCTCATAGTTCTCCTTTAAAGTGACATTAAAGGAGAACTATGAGGTGAGTGGAAAGCCCTCACCTCATAGTTCTCCTTTAAAGTGACATTAAAGGAGAACTATGAGGTGAGTGGAAAGCCCTCACCTCATAGTTCTCCTTTAAAGTGACATTAAAGGAGAACTATGAGGTGAGTGGAAAGCCCTCACCTCATAGTTCTCCTTTAAAGTGACATTAAAGGAGAACTATGAGGTGAGTGGAAAGCCCTCACCTCATAGTTCTCCTTTAAAGTGACATTAAAGGAGAACTATGAGGTGAGTGGAAAGCCCTCACCTCATAGTTCTCCTTTAAAGTGACATTAAAGGAGAACTATGAGGTGAGTGGAAAGCCCTCACCTCATAGTTCTAGCCGACCTGTGACAATGAGACTGTCACAGGTCGGCTTAGAACTAGGAGGTGAGTGGAAATCACTCATGTCATAGTTCTCCTTTAACCCCCATAGTTCTCCTTTAATGTCACTTTAAACATTTGCAGCTATTTTTTGCAACTTAGTATCAACCACTGCAGAAGCAACATTTTGTTAAGTTACAACATATTTCCATGTATGTGTGCAAAAGGTATACTGACATCTAGTGACTGCACTGAGCATTGCAGCTAATCATCCCAATATACTGTTTAGTACGTCCCATACACTGTAAAAACATGATAAATACCTCATGAAAGAGTATGTCAATTCACCCCCAAAAAAAGTATGCAGTCATTGGCACCTGGCTGAGGCAGTCGGTATTTGCAGGGAATTGACATATTCCAGAACACATCGCTGGAATATAAATTCATCTATAAAAAAGGAGGATAGAGAGAATACCCCATCCTAGGGGCAGGGATGGGACCAAATAAAAAGTGTATTAATGTTATGGGTGCAAATTACTGCACCAATGTGCTTTTTTTCCAAGTGGAAATGACTATACATAAAATAAAGCCTAAATGAGAAATTCCACATGTTCTGAAGGCAACAGCATTTTAATGCACGTTTCTATGCACATTTTATGTGCATACAGCAATAAGCACGTTGAGCAGATTGTTGCTCATTGATGTTAATGACAAAATGCGCATAAAACAAAAACCACAACAAACAAGCGGTTAAGCGTTTCTTATTCAGTCAATGAGGCCAAAACGATTTTCCTGTGTTATGATGATTCAGTTATTTGAAAATAAGCCAGTGTTCAATTATTTCTGGTTAGCCAGGAGTGCTCTGGGTATGTCATTGCCTACAGAAACGGTCAAAAGCAACCATGCCATGGTTGATCTTTAAATATTAAAAAGAAAAAAAAAAACTATTCGCCTGGCTGTCGTAATGCTCTCTGGATTCAATGCTTTCTGACCAGGCTGCTGGAGCCGTGTTATTTGCATCATTTTAAATAGGGATGCACCGATACTAGTATTGGTATCGGTGCCGATACCAAGTATTTGGGTGAGTACTCGTACTCGCCCAAATGCTCCGATACCTAGCATGAGTACTTCCTGCATCAGTAAGCCAGGCTGCGCATCACTACACGCTGCCCGGTTTCCTGATTGGCCTGGAAACGGCTCCATGCTCTCTCGTGACTTGTGATGAGAGAGCATGGAGCCAACCTCCCGGCCAATCAGGAAACCGGGTAGCGTGCAATGACAGGCTGCCCGGCTTCCGATTGGTCAGGAAGCTAGCAAATCCGGAAGCCGTGTAAAGACGCAGCACCCGACATTCTGATTGGCCGTGAAGCCGGCATCATGCTCCCTCATCATCTCATGAATCATAATATTAAGAAAATGACCTTAAAGCATTAGTTTGTATTGCTTTAGAAAAAAGTGACCTGTTCCTTTAAGAGAAAGTATTGGTAATTGGTATCTGCGAGTACTTGAGCAAAAGTATCGGTACTCGGTCTTAAAAAAGTGGTATCGGTGCATCCCTAATTTTAAATAGCTGGCAATGGCTGTTAAGATACAAGCAATCCGGCTACTATACAGATGCTGGATTGTGTGTACCGAATACCGATCGGCCGAATGTACTGCCCCCACCACCAGCTTCCCTGGGCTCCACTGTCCCCCATGCAGGCGAGTGAGATCCGCAGGCTTCCAGCTACTTATCCCTCTGTATTACATCACTTCTGGTGTCAGTTTACATTATCTGGCTCTTAGAGCAAGAAGCAGATCTCTGCTCTCAGCTTTAGGGTCCTTTGCTGAAATTGTCAGTGGGGGGGGGATTTGTTGGAGAGCGTGTAAGAAATTTTTATATTACGTGCAAAAACAAAAAATTGTGCTACACATTGCCGCGAACATCGGGGTGAGAGCAATTCTAGAGCCACCGCTGTTAGCACTAAACTAATGAGTAAAAGCTTTTAAAGTGTCCCCCATGGGAAATTTTGGGTATTGAAGTTTTTGGGTGGATTCACACACTGGCAATTTTAAGGCTTGACACATTTGGTATCTATTTACCTGATGTGACCTAATCTTTTATATTTTACCAAAAAGTTGATTATATTCTGTTTCTGTGCACTAAATTTCATTTTAGTGTATTTTATCCTAAAAAAAACTGGTTTGATGAACATTTGTGCAAATGCTGTGCGACAAAATTGCAACTAGCATTTTTTTTTTTTAATTCTACAGGGCCTCCGCTTTCAGGGGGTTTGAAGCCAAAAATCCAGATTTATCATGTGTGCAAATCGTAATAAATTGCTCCAGACAGCAAGCCCTGGTGCCCAACCTGCAGCGCTTGAATACTTGTGTAGCCCTCAACTCCTGTAACCAGAGTAGAAACTGACCTGTAAAGAGGCTACAATGGCAACAATTGCAATAGCCTTATTCACTTGGGTATACTTCTTCCAGCAGCCCTTGACAAAAAAAATAGGCCCTTAATGCTGCAACATGCCCTGTGTTAGCCTCATTCACACTGGAATCGGCCCGCACGTACAGCTCCCGGGAAGGACAGGTGCTGTGTGTGATTAGTACACAGCCCCCGTCCTTTATGGGAGTACGTGGCCGTGGCCCCCCACCTTCACTCCACAAGAGCAGGTCTATAAGGGTGCACATTTCCTGGCTCGGACGCAGACAGGAACCATCCCCGTCAGCATACACTCACCCGCACGGATGTGCAAATGGCCGTTGTAGTCCCATAGAGAAGGACGGGGGCTGCGGTTCTAATCATACGCAGCACCTGTCCTTCCTGGGAGCTGTTCGGTATGGCCCTGCACGCAGCACAGAGCTGTATGTGTGGGCCAATTCCAGTGTGAATGAGGGCTTAAGGAGGCCCAACAGTCACCCAAGAACATGGCCCCAGTCTTACCATCCTCTGCAATATGTAGAGTGTCTAAACAGTCCACAAATATGGAATGCTAAAGACTGTCAATGTCAAGGAGTGTAGTTAGGACTACCCATTTCTTGAAAGCCCACCACTGACTATTTTAAAGACAAGCATCAGCTTCTCTATGGCATTATAACCTACTAATATTTTACAGCCAACACTGGAGGCGCTCATAAAAGCTGGAGCTGACAATTTGGAACAGTTGTCCATGGCAACTAGCTTCAATTCCAAACCCTAACTGAACATGCTGGAGAGAAGCTGATAGTTATGTCAACCAATCTTCTCTAGTTTTTCTGAATTCCCCACTATCAGCCATATGCCACCGTGAAAAGAATCTAGAATATGTATTACTCTGTACAGAAAGACCACAAATTATCATTTTTTTGCAATTTATTTAACAACTGCTTTTCAGCAAAAAATAACTTAGAAATGGTTTCTCTCCCGAATGGAAAATCACTTTTTGCCTGCTTTTATGGCAGATTTTGTCACTTTGCCTACAGCTGCCGCCTTCTTCTCTACAGCTTTAACGACACCAACAGCCACCGTCTGCCTCATGTCACGAACAGCAAAGCGACCTGTTAAAAGACCAATATTAGCCCTAGCTTGTCAGAAAGATATCCAAACAGCTTTTAGCACATTTGATACATAACCTAGGCCCTTATTCCTCTAATTGAAACTTGTGTCTTGCTCAACTGTTTTAAAGTGAAGAAATGCTTTATTTCATACCATAGGGATGATCATTTATACCAATTAGCACAAAATCCAGTCTACCTGAAAATAAGGTTACACCGGACACTTGCTTGGGGAACTGAACTAGTGGTGCAACAATAGCCATAGCAGACCACGTGGCTGCTATGGGTCCTAGTGTAGGAGGACCCCCATTAGGGGGCTAATAAAGAAAAGTAAACCGAGGTGTCCAGTGAAGCTGACTTCAGACCTCAGAATGGTGTAGTCACAGATCCTCTGCAGTAAGCAGCATAGATTTATTGCCCTCTTAAACTTCCGCTACAGACTGAAGCTAACCCTAAATGCAGTCAAATCCCAGTGTTCCACCTCTTAAAATATGCTACACAAAATTAGAACAAAGCTAGATTTTAAAGAAGTTTGTATTAGGGTTAAAGAGTAAGCATGTCAAAAGCATTGCTCATTTTATCAGAATATAAATGGTTGTTAGTGCTACTATAAACACTTATCCCTAGCACTGCTCCTTAGCATTGCACTATGCCAACAGCTCTCCTGCTGCTGGACCTTGATAAATGTCCATGACACAGCCAGTCGCTACAGAAACTTAGCCAGGGAGCCCAAGTTTTGTTATGGGGCCCCATGATGTGATCTAAACTGTTTATAGTAGGAAGCAGTTTTGTGAATCTTGTTTCAGAAGTAGAGCTTTACCATGGTAGTCAAGGCCTTAACCCACTTGTGAGATTCCAATTTTCAGGCTATGCACCAAGACACTTAAAGTATTAGCTACATACCAAGTGGAGGGTAGGCTTGGAAGGATTCCACACACATTGGCTTCCCAGGAACCATCTGAACAATGGCAGCATCACCAGACTTAAGATTTTTGGGGTTATCTTCCAGTTTCTTTCCTGATCTTCGATCAATCTTTTCCTTCAACTCAGCAAATTTGCAGGCTATGTGAGCTGTGTGGCAATCCAAGACTGGGGCATAGCCTGGATTGATCAATCCAGGGTGATTGAGTACGATAACCTGCAAAGTTTAAGCACATGTTGGAAAGCAGACAAAAGTCAAAGGGTTCCATTTTAGGTTTAGACAATTCAAAGCTACATCAAGTTACTTTAGCATCTGAACTATACCCATTTCTTAAGCTTTTTTTTAAAATTCAAAACTCAAGCAGCCACTGCTCTTAATCCTTGTCCCATGATCACACAGCCCCATCCCTCTTGTTGGTGCAGGCAAGAAAAGCATGCTGCAGCTTCATACCGGTTCTTGCAGAAACAATGGGGCACAAACAACTGTTATCACAAGCTGGACAATGTTTATTCCCAAAGTCAAAAACATGCTGTAAACCAATACTGGCTCCGCCAACTCTAAACACATTTCACCAAACGGCTTATTCATAAAGATGTCCGACGCAGCCATTTGTTGAAACATGTTAAGAGTTGGTGGAGCCAGTGTTAGTTTACAGCATGTTTTTGACTTCAGGAATAAACATTGTCCAGCAATTGTTTGTGAGAACCACCATTTTAATACAAGTTACTTTACTGACACTCACCAAGTCCCAACCCCCACTTCTGAGATATGGATGCTACCATAATTTATGATCTTTCTGAAAAAGGCTAGTTTCAGTAGGAAGGTCAGCATGATGGCCAGGCAATACCTGAAGTCACCAACCCCAGAAGTCTGCATATTTGTTTTGCACTAGTGATCCAAGTGTGATAAAGAGGGCCAATCAACTAGAATTTTAGGTCAGCAATGTAGTCTCCATGTCTTTAAAAGGGTAGCCTGTACTGAACAATAAGACCAGTGTGGACCTTTATGGAGAGGGGAAGTTAGCGGGCTTCCACTGCCAAACAAGCATAGCCAGAACTCCTAATTTGCAGGTCATCAACCTGGACAAAGTACTTATTAGATCAGCATTACAGCCAACTGGCACTTTCAGAAACCAATCAGCCCAAAATATACAAAGTTTCATAGATGTTTGTTACACATGAGTATTAAGCTACTTTTTTGGGGAGCAGAAACTTGGGCATATTGTATGTAATAAATTCAGACACTGTCACAGAAGTTACACTAACAGCCCCATGCAGTAACCTTTAGGGCTTGTTCACATCTCTAGACTAGAGCTGGATGCTTGCCTGCAAATGCAGCCATGTGCATTTTCAGTCCATCTTTAATCCAACTTGAGTTTCTAGTGTGCGTTATGGTGCATTCCAGAGCTTTTTTTTTTAGATGTTCTGGAACTGAGTGCAGTAGTGTTAACTAGCCTCACTTTACCACATGAATGAATGTGTTCTTGGACCAAACAAAAAATGTTCTGGTCGTGACATTGTGTGAATGAGCCCTTAAGGTACACATTTCTTATCAGGTAGATGTGTACTCTACTACCCAACCAGCAAGTGGAGTTTTAGGCCCTTACATTTTCCCTTCTACACAGGTCAATTAGATAACTCCGTAGCAAATTACACCTCATCTGACATGGGGCTATAAAACAATTCCCTGTAATAAATTGATTGTTGGCAAGCCAGGAAATAAAGGATCACAATATGCTCTGTGAATCTTGGCCACAAGCAACACTAGAACAGAAACGCAAGTGATGAGAACAAAGTCAACACGGCTTGAAGTCCTTCAACACAGGCTGTGCTCACTTGGAATATCTGGTTCATGCAGACTGAAAAAGCCTTCACAAATATCCTTAAGATATTTAAAAGGGAACACACCCTTGTGATCAGTCACTATCACTCCATTTGAAAAGACCAATTACCTGAGCAGTGAAAGATCCAGCCTCCATTGGAGGGTCATTCTTGCTATCACCAGCTACATTGCCTCTCCTAATGTCTTTTATAGAAATATTCTTGACATTAAATCCTACGTTGTCACCAGGTAAAGCCTCTGTTAAAGCCTCATGATGCATTTCCACAGACTTTACTTCTGTAGTCACATTTCCAGGAGCAAATGTCACAACCATGCCTGGCTTCAAGACACCAGTCTCCACTCTTCCAACTGGAACTGTGCCTATGCCTAAGAACAAAAACAAAAAAACTAGTTACAGTACATAGAGGCAGCAGTATATGAACCTAGTGATATTATTTAGGTTTTCTACTACACTTGCCTCCAATCTTGTACACATCTTGCAAAGGAAGGCGCAATGGTTTGTTTGAGGGTCGGCTGGGAGGAATGATAGAATCCAGAGCTTCAAGTAGAGTAACTCCATCGGCATTTCCCTCTTTTCTGGCAATCTTCCATCCTTTGAACCATGGCATCTGAAAGAACAGACAGGTCTCAAGCAAGAGCTAGTACCTATAGCTGCTCTAGATGTGCAAGCCAATTCAATTTAACACAAGGTATCCTGTTAAGATGGAACCCTGTTTTAGGCAGGCCCAAAGCAAAAAAAGGGTTAATGAGGGTTTGATCCTGGGACAAGGTTTTACCTGATTGGACAGGTCAAAAGGTTAGGTTAAGCTTGAATGGTGGTCCGAGTAGGAGGGTCTTCTCTTCAGAAGTTGGAGATGGTCGACAGGGAGTGAACTTGGGTATGGTTCCTGTATTCATGGTGTAAGATGGTGAACACTATTGGATATTTGGAGTGTATGCGGTCAGTTGGCGGTTGTCCCCGAGGTGGTGTTGCGGCTGGGGGGCCTAGCATGTTTTAGTACCGCCGGAGGGAACGGATCAAGGAAAGGTGTGGCCTTCAAACACCTGCAACTGTTTATGTAATTCTGATGGATCTTTAAAATTGTTTAGATAGTTATGTCTTATATCACATTTTTTAATAAAAAGGCTGCTAAGGCCATTTGAGTGTGGTCTGTTTATTCCTTACAGGGACAGGTGGTCTTAGTGGCTCACATTGGGGTAAAGAATGGGGACACACACACCTTTACAAAGTCTGCTGCATCACTATTCTAGTGAAATGCTGGCATTTAATTTGCAGATGAAGTGTCTACATCCAACTGACCTATGCTCTACAAATAACTGAAAGCCTTTTAATCCAGTAGCCATTACAAACACATTTCACCTTCTATCCACCAATGTATTTTTATTTATTTGATTTTTTTAAAAAGTGTATCAACAAGCTGCTGAAGCCAAGAAACCAACTTTAGAGACTGCTTAGAAGGGCCGATTTACAAATCATATGTAGCATTGCAGATTTGACAAGTCATAGGACCACCTACCTTACTGCTAGACTCCAACATGTTGTCTCCATGCCATCCAGAGATTGGCACAAATGCCACTGTAGCTGGGTTATACCCAATTTTCTTGATGTATGAACTAACTTCTTTGGTTATTTCTTCAAACCTTTTTGGACTGTATGGTGGCTCTGTGGAATCCATTTTGTTGACACCAATAATAAGCTGCTTGACTCCCAATGTGAAGGCAAGAAGGGCATGCTCCCTGGTCTGTCCATTCTTTGAGATACCAGCCTCAAACTCTCCCACACCAGCAGCTACAATAAGGACTGCACAGTCAGCCTATATGATGGAAAACATTAGAGGATTTACTGGAAGATACAGAGAAGCTTGAGAAATATGCATCTTAAATTGACAAAATACTTTAACACTTTAAGACTAGCTTTGGGCAATGCGTGAAGAAAAAATAAAAATAAAGTCAGGGGTTTAATTCAGCTACACAACCAGCTTGGTATTTTATAGATTTACCACATTTAAACCATCATAGGGTTCCAGGTGCAAATACCAACCCACATGCAAATTGTTCAAATCAGTTTTCCTCAACTACATCGCCACTTAAGTAGCAAGTTACTACTTGGGGGAGGCGACAACCTACCCAACCGGAATTGCAGTTTAACAGCCACAAAGGATTCCTTGCAAAGACTACAAGCACAGGGCCTTTTTACACACATGCACTTCAAAATGCAGGCAATTTTCACCTTCATTTGTAAAACTCAGTTATTTGGGCAGGTTTAGCACACATCAATTCTGAAGATTCCTGCATAAAACCCAAGCTAAAGATGCAGATTTAAGCCAATAAAGCATCTCTGTGAGGGGCACTTGGTCAAAGCAATTCATGTTAATTCTGGACACTGAAACATGCCAGGTGGGATTTAAGTGCATTTGTATACATTCCTTTGCAGCTAGAAAATAGGGCAAGCAGTATTTTTTGTGACTGCATCGGAACAGACTGCACTGGTGTGAATAGTGCACCAGAAATCCCATAGGAAAGCCGAAGGCATTTTGGCTGCAGCAGCCAAACTGACCAGACTGCATCTGGCATGAACTAGTCCTAAAGGATTGAGTTGCAGCAATCACACCTGCATCATAACCCTAATCAGGCAGCCTTCAAAATCAATGAACAAGGTAATCAATTTTAGGACACAGTTACCATTACCAATACCAATGTCGCCTTCCCAGCAGATTTAGTAATTTTGAGGAATACCTATGCTGAAAGAAACAGTGAGGCTGCCATTGCATTAAGGATTACTGAAATAAACCCAGAGGCTGCCATTGCCATCTAAAAATGCCATTTACCTGACTAGTGCTGATAAGACATCTCAAGTATTCATTCCCCTAGCATTATGATCGATTAGGGCTTCCGGTTTCCTTTGCTACATGTTTGTTCTAGGCCAGTAGCTGACATGAGTCAGTGGTTGTATTACAGCTAGGTAACTAGCATTGAGGAGATCAGCAACAGCAACCTCCTGGTTTCCTTTACCCATATGTAACATGCATTCAATTGAAGTGCAGAAAACACCCCGAGTAATTTATCAAAACAAGGAGCAGCTGCCCATGGCAACCAACAAAGCTTCTATCGTTTTCAAAGCCTAACTGAACAGACTAAAGAGCAGCTGATTAGTTACCACAAGCAGCTGCTCAAGATTCTGTCTGCTCCAGTTTTGATACATTTCTCTCATTAAAACCTTTTTTTTTTTTTTTTTTTTTTTTTTGTAAACAGACACTGGATTTCCTGAGTTACCATACTGACACATTTTGGGCCAGAGAAAGCACTATCATCCCAGTATGAAAGCATCAGGCATACCACACACAGTTTAATACACCCCAATTTAGAGCGCAAAAAGCCATTTACCTGGGAGGTGCCAGTGATCATGTTCTTGATAAAGTCACGATGGCCAGGAGCATCAATAATGGTGATGTAATATTTGCCAGTCTCAAACTTCCACAGGGAGATATCAATAGTAATACCACGTTCACGCTCAGCCTTCAGCTTGTCCAGCACCCAGGCATACTTGAAGGAGCCTTTGCCCATCTAAAAGGACAGAACATAAAAGCCGGTTGATAGTTCCAGCCTAAGAGGCGATATCTGCTGGTCTTATCCTTATGAACCACTAACAATACTCATGTACACTTACCTCCGCCGCTTCCTTCTCAAACTTTTCAATGGTTCGTTTATCAATGCCACCGCATTTGTAAATCAAGTGCCCAGTGGTGGTGGATTTCCCAGAATCTACATGGCCAATGACCACAATGTTAATATGGATCTTTTCCTTTCCCATTCTGAAAGTGCAGCAATACCACAAGAGGTTTCCAAGCAGATAGAAGGATCAAGCTAAGATGCACCTGAGATTTAAAGGTCCACGAGTGGGCGGGTCTGAGAGCAGCCAATCAGAGGCACCGCATACTGAAAATGCTTCGCTGTGATTGGCTAAGAATTTGTAGGTGAGAATGAGCACACCTGACAGAGGTACTTGTGCTTTTCTATGGGATCTGTGTAGGAATTGCTCATGTCAGCTATATCATACAGGAATAGTACTGCAGACATCTGTAGGTGTTTTGATCTTGGAAGCAGCGATATTGAATAATACCAAACGAATAAATAAAAATAAGTTTAATCATTAATGTGCTCATACATTATGCAGCACTTTTTGTAACTGTATAAATTGCATCAGTATGATTAAAATAAATGATTACTGTTGTGTTTTAATGTAAATTAGTATCCAACTGTGATCCCAGATAGCAAGCAATTGAGCTGCAAATTTGAAAATGACCTGCTAAACTATTGCTAGACTTGCTGGTTATATCAATGGGGTTACATCTGTGCCGCTATCGCAGGAAAAAGGTACATGTACCTTTTTTTGCAATACACGACGCGCGGCTGTTTTAGCTGCGATCGTGTTCGGTTGCACTGGTTGAAACGTGCGCGACCTGACTGACGCGACTGGGGGCCATTAGAAAATAGTGCAATCGTTGGTGGTGGGCGACTTCGTGACCGCGTGGCAAACCACGCGGTATCGTGCACGATTGCTGCGCGATCACGGATCGCCCAGGTGTGAACCTGGCCTCACAAGTTTTTTTGCACAATTATAGGAAGTCTGCATTGCAAGTCTCCACATCAACGTGTTTTGCAAACTTGCTGAAAGTCAGCAGCAAGTTTTAGTTCAGTCATGTTGTGCAATATTCATCCCACCACAGGAGTCACTGTGGCTGAATTTTCATCTTATTGCTCCCTGCTGTGTGTAAGTTTTTCTTTCATTGTGCTGGCAGCCATTTTACAATCTCTTTGGAAGTGGTGTGAAGAGAGGTGAGTAGAAACCATGAGATCTGATAAAGGAGTTATAAATAGAACCAGCTAGTATAGAGATATCTTCAAGGGACAGGCATCACTTTGAGACAATTATCTCATTCAAAAGCATTAGTACTTGTGGCATCTCTTATTTCACTGGTTTTCACTACCCACCAGATTTGTCGATCGCCATTGATGCACATGGTTGCGCTACTTAAGACTGTACTTTTAAAAGCAGTTGGATTTGACAAGCACGTTTAGGGCCTGTTCACACCATCTATGTGTTAATCGCATGGTTCTGTGATTAACAGTACTGCCCAATGCACCTTGCGTGCAATTACAGTGCCACCCAAAATGCACCTCCTGCCCACAGTGTGATCAGCCAGGTCGCAATGCCTGGTACTGCAGATACTGTGTGATAAAAAAAAATAGTGCATGCACTATTTTTTTCAAATGCACAGTATATGCGGTGCCAGGCGTTGCAGCGAGAGAGATGCATTTGTGGTGCCAGTTAAATTAATGGCACAAAATGCACCTCCTGCGCTGTAATCACACAGTAGGTGTGTTGTGCGGTACTGTGCGTTAATCGCATGGAACCGTATGATTAACGTGTGGATGGTGGTGTGAATGGGCCCTTACCAGGCATCCAGGTGGTCAGCATCACTGATTGGCTTCCTATCCTCTTTCATGATATTATTTAGTGGCTTAATTATAATAAATCATTATAAAATATATAACTATGCCACTATTATCATATCCATTTACAATATGGATATTATATCATTACACATGTGCATTAATGGGGATCGACAAATCGTGCAATAAGTGGATATGACATCACTGGAAGTGACGTTCTGAACTATTCTTATGAATTGGCTAATCTGGCAGAACAGCGGCAATGTAAGAATGTCAGACTGTAACTCCCATCACTCACATATGCATAAAGATTCCTGGAATCCCTGTGTACAGCATTAATGGACTGCCAAATTATTAGGCGTGTTTTAATGCCTTGATCACTCGCTGACCAAACTCTCCCTGTCACACTGTTCTGGTATCCATGACGAATTTTCCATGTTGTTCAGTTTCTGTGCCAGATTTCCCCCTCTGTCCTGGGTGCTTGGCCTCGCTCCTGTCTCCTGTTCCTGCTTCCAAACCATCTGCTCGGTGGACCTCCGGCTTGCGGACTCCACGCCATCGGGACGTCTCCTGCACGGTGTCGGTTTCCATCAGTGGCACTCGTGCTCCTCACTGTCCGTCTGCTCCCTGTCTTGCCTCCAGGGGCAGAGGGACACGAGTCGCAAGAGAAGCCTCCTCACCTTCCGGTCTCTTACCAGGTACTTGACAACTCTTGGCCGGGGGGTGCTCAACAATAGGATAGAGCAAGTGTAGTAGCAGTCTGGGCAAAACAAAGGGCTAACAACAGCAAGGAACAACACAGGCCGAGTCCAGGGACACAGAGCAGGAATCCAGGCACAGCAAAAGGTTAACGGCAGCCAAGAACAGCACTGCGGGTGTCCATGGCACAGGGCAGCAATCTGGACACAGAAAAGTGTTAACAGCAGGGAAGAACAGCAAGGCTAGGTCATGACTCATGCTCAGATGTCCAGTCACTCCGAAGCAGGTCAGAGGTTCACACTGGATGGCATTCCAGGAGGTGGTCTGGGTGGGGGTGGTAGTGGGGGAGCATAGTGCACACACTCAACCCCACCTCCCCTCCAGGTGCGTCCGGTATGCATCAGAGTGCCACCTACATTAGCTGTTTCCATCAATGTGCCCCCTTACATTAATTTTGAAAGTAAGGGGGCACTCTGATGGGGGCAACCAAAGTATTGGGAGCACTCTGGTGGGGGCAAATAATAATTAGCTGTCCCCCTTGGAGTGCCCCCTGACACTGATTGTCCCCCTTGGAGTGCCCCCTTACACTGATTGTCCCCCTTGGAGTGCCCCCTTACTTTCATAATTAATGTAAGGAAGCACTCTGGCGGGGGCAACTAAAGTAAGGAGGAACTTCGATGGGGGCAATTAATCATTAGTTGTCCCCATCAGAGTGCCCCCTTACACTGGTTGTCCCCTAAAGGGCTTGTTCACAGCAATGCGGTGCGCTTAATGCACACTACCACGCAACGCACCTAGTGCATTACAGTGAGGCAGGTGCATTGCGTTGCCATGCATTTGAATGGCACCCCAAACACACCTCCTGACCGCTATGTGTTAAACCGCAAGTAATAGTGGCTCTAATGGCAAATATGGGCCACTTGCTATTACTTTGTGTATCACTCAGAAATTTAGTGGGAGTTTGGGAATAAGTGAATCTGAGCTGCTCATTATTCTCAAAGAAGTCAGAAACATCCAAGCTTAGCTGATTTTAAGACTCCATATTGGATATTATGAGGATCCCATCCCCTCTTACATTGTTTAAAGAAAAACTCCAGCATTTTTTTTTTTAAACCTTGCAGTGGGGCTTAGCCTGGCGAGTAGTTTTTTGCACATTCAGCCCTGCTCCTGACGAGCAGAGCTGAATGTACAGTGGCAGCCGCTGCTCGCTTAATACAAGTGATCTAATTAGATCACTTGTATCAAAACGAGCGGCGGCGATCGTGTCTGCCCCCCGGCCGTGGTTTTCGGGGATCCCCGCTCCTCTGGGGGACCATAGGAGCTCACTATAGAGCCCCTTGAGCAGACGAGGAACGCTGTTCTTCGTCTGCTCTGTGTGATTACTGAGACAGCGCCACCTGTCTCAGCGGTCACTAACTGCAGCTTCTGTCACAGAAGCCCTGCATCCTATCGTCCGGAGCGCCTTGTAGAGCGCGAAATACGGTATATCTTTGTTATTTTAGCACCCAGACACTACTGTTAACTAGTACTATTTAGCCCTAAAAATTATATTTTGGTGCTATGTAATGATTGTTTTTGTTTTTAATTTCACAGGCCAGTTCCAAGACCAGAAACGCAAAGCACACAGCTCATCCGTCATGCATCCTTGTAATCCACATTCGATGCACAGATAACCTTCTTCTGAAATGATAGTCTCAACAACTGCAAAACGGTACATGCTTTTCCAAAGAAAATCAAACTTTATTCCAGTTTGAGCCCAAATAATGCAGAAACGCCTCAGTGGTTGTTTTTTGTATAGTCATGGTTGTGAACCAACACCAACCCCACTAAAATAACACGCCACATAGTGCGGGAAGAAACACATAGGAACACCTTTATTTAATAAACAATCCATGTAATCACATTAATAATATATATTTTTAGTATACCATTTTAGATGTATGTTAAGCCATGTTTCTGTAAATGTTCTTTCATGTTTTGGTCAATGTTCAACCTAACAACAAACTTAACTGTTTGTAATGCTGTGTTATGTACTGATTTTAATAAAATATTTTAATGAATATTTTTATTTGTTTCTTAATGCTCTATTGAGTAAATTGATGTGAATTGTCAGGGAAATGGCAAAATCTAGGCCAAAATAGCTGAACTAGAAATATTTGAAAGGGAGATTTTTTTTTCGATCACAGCCACATTGGGCTATATTTAGCAATTCTCCTATTCACCCCTATTCACTTTTTTAGTGAATAGATCCTGAAAAAACTGAGACTTGCAGGGTTCTTGCTATAGACTTGCAGAGCTCTTGCTATGACTTGCAGAGTTCTTGCTATACACTTGCAGAGCTCTTGCTATGACTTGCAGAGCTCTTGCTATGACTTGCAGAGCTCTTGCTATGACTTGCAGGGCTCTTGCTATGACTTGCAGAGCTCCTGCTGTAGATGGCAGAGCTCTTTGCTGTAGACTGGCAGAGCTCTTGCTGTTGACTTGCAGAGCTCTTGCTGTAGACTAGCAGAGCTCTTGCTATAGACTTGCAGAGCTCTTGCTATAGACTTGCAGAGCTCTTGCTATAGACTTGCAGAGCTCTTGCTATGACTTGCTGGGCTCTTGCTGTAGACTTGCAGAGCCCTTGCTGTAGACTAGCAGAGCTCTTGCTATAGACTTGCAGAGCTCTTGCTATAGACT